TATCTCCTGCCACGCTCTTACTAGACAGACTCAGATATTAAAAAATTGATTAAAATTATGTAGAGGCCGGAACTCTGCTTAAAAATGATTGCAATGCATATGGGCCAAGTGCCAAATAAAAACAAATATCATATATTATGAGCTCAGAAACGTACGTCGTCTTAAAAATTTTGCAAATAAACTTTTTTTGCTATTATTATCGACCATGAAAATGAAGGCACAAAATTAGGAAAAAGAAATCCCGTTTTCAAACGTCTGGTATGTCGGTCAACGTTTATCGCGTATAAATTAGCAACCCACCATTTTGTAGGAAATTTTATAAGCTTCAATTTTTATATAAGGTATTTTTTACGTGTACCATGCAGAAATTAAAATATTTACAAAAAAGGTATCGCAAATCGCCTTTTTATGCCAAAAGATCAAAAAACAAGCATTCTTATAGCAACTGTTTTTCAAAAATTAAATTTTTTAAACTATCGCCGATACAGGATCGTGTACATATATATGTAAACTAACAGAAAAATATGGATATTAATTTTTCTATCGTCATTACATATGTTTGTTTGTACAAAAAGTCCGATTTTATCAAAAAATCAGTACATTACGGAATTTTCCAAAGGGTGTATCTCGGAAACTATTCATCGGACGAGGTTCAAAAAATTTCATTTTAAAGACAATTTTATAAGCTTCCACATAATTTCTAAACATTTTTCACCTCAGACGAATCAGAAGTAAGTTATTTACAAAAATGTACACAGAAACACGTATAATAAAGATTTTTCAGCTGTATCTCAGTAATTATATATTAGCCGTATACAAACCATTAGAAGACCAAAATGCAGGGAATTTAATAATCTTTCGTTTTGATGATAACTATTTTTGGCGTAGGAGTAGCCGTATATAAGATATTACCGATATACTAACGAGGAAACATTCTCATTTTCAAAATATTCACAAGTCAAAATGCCTTTAAAAAATGATATCTCCGGAACTAGCGATCGTACGACACTCAATAAAAACCCATTTTGTAGGTAATTAAATACTCTTTCGATCTTGTTATGTGCGTTTTGCACGTAGATGTATCCAAATTTGAGATATTCGCGAAGATAGAACAAATTTACGTAACGCTCGAAAATAAGAAGTCACTTAAAAGAAATCTATCTCGAGAACTATTGGTCGTACGAAGTACGACCATTAGAGAATTTTATAGAGAATTCTATTATCTTTCTTTTATTATAGACCTACTTTGGCCGTAAAACTGATAGGAAAGAAGATAACCGCGAAAAACCGGAATTTCAAACCTTGTACGCTCGATAAAAGACTTAGCGTACAAGCTAACGTTGGGAACTTTTCAGACATCATTTCTCTCGCCTAAATGAAGGTATTTAGCAATTTATAGCTTGGTCGGAATTTCTTCATTTATATGCCCTTTTTTGTTCCAAAGTGACTGGACTATGAGCAATGTTTAAGAGAATAAAGTACTCGGCACGGGCGTCGATCCGCATAAACGAATCATTTTTCTCACTTCAGTGTGAGCAACAAATTCAGATGTTATCATATTTCGATAGTGCATGTTACGAGGAACATTTCGATACCAAATACATATACGAACGACAACTTCTCTGAGCAATGTTTAAGAGAATAAAGTTCTCGGCACGGGCGCCGATCCGCATAAACAAATCATTTTTCACGCTTCAGAATGAGCAACAAATTCAGATGTTGTCATATTTCCGTAGTGCATGTTACGAGGAACATTTTGATACCAAATACATACGAACGACAACTTCTCTGAGCAATGTTTAAGAGAATAAAGTTCTCGGCACGGGCGCCGATCCGTATAAACAAATCATTTTTCACGCTTCAGAGTGAGCAACAAATTTATATGTTGTCATATTTCGATGGTGTATATTACGAGGAATATTTTTATAGCGAAAACATGCAACCAATTCTTTTATCAAGATTTAAGATCTTATAATGCACGGCGTGCGGGAACGACTGGGATAAACTAATTGTTTTTCATGTCATAGTTAGCAACAAATTCGAATATTAATAGTATATGATGTGTAGAAAATTTTGGCTACAAATTCATTGAGCAACAAATTCTGTGCATAAATCGTCAGTCTTTCTCTTCCCGAATTATTGACGAATAATGCAATATGTGAAAAACTGGGCGAGAGAGAGAGAGAGAGAGAGAGAGAGAGAGAGAGAATCGCGGAAAGATCTCTGCTGGTTTGGCTCGTGTCTACCGTCGACGCGCCGGCCCGCCGCGAATCTTTCTTCTTTGTAGTGGAACAAGCACCGACGGATTGATAGTCTGTCTTTGTCTGTCTAACGGTTCGATAAACATGGACATAGGGAAGATTCGAACCAAAAAATCATGGACATAGGGAAGATTCGAACCAAAAAGTCGTGGTGTATCGACAGTGTCGAAAATGTGTTACGTAGTTCACATCATTTTATAAAAATGATGTTGGTGCCGCTAGCGTACGGCGGCTTCGCCTGTCACGCGAAAAAGGCCGCCATGGCCTCTCTCAGGTTTCTCTCTGGTAATACTTAACCGAGGTTGGTGAAAGAGACTCTTACTGGCAGTCCATTTGTATATAGTCAAAGTTCGGATCTACAACACTTTTGATTATGAATGTACGACGAAAGCGCATGCGCCATGAAGGACAGCGATACCTAAAGTAGCTCTCTCTTTTCATTATATTTCTTACGCTTGTTTCAAAGGGCAGAGCGTGTTCCAGTAGTATAGTTCAGTGAATGCTACTGCCCATTGTAGAATGGGCTTTATAGGCCTTCTACAATAAGCCATAAGTCATAAATCACAACGACATATATACCTAGACAAAGTATTCATACGGTTTCCCCTAGAAATCGTGAAGTTGATATGTTGACAACATGAAATAAGAGAGGAGGAGACCGATCACGATTGGGCGCGAATACAGAAAAGTGACTCTCATTTGTGTGCCGAATTGAAAGGGAGTCCGCTCAAAGGAAGAACCTGCGAATTAGGACGCCATTTGCAATATCGACCTTACCGATAAAGAGAGAAAGAGAGAAGTTTATATATATATATATATATATATATATAACAGTGGAAAGATAGTTCGTGCCTTCGTGGTATGAACTTATAGTTGCAGAGAAATGTCATGTTGGATACGAGGATGTACACAAAAGATCTATAAGATCATGTTCAGCGTTTAGGTAATTGCTTCGTCATGAGGCATAAAGTCAGGTAAGGTTGATATTGCAAATGGCGTCCTAATTCGCAGATTCTTCCTTTGAACGGATTCCCTCTCAATTCGACACACGAATGAGTGCCTCTTTCCGTGCGTAAAGTTCGATCTCCTCCTCTCTTACTTCATAGTTGACAGAAAAAGCGTGCGATAAGGATCTATCGTTGTGTATACTCTTCTTTTTTCAACCAACACTGTTAAAACAGCTTGAGTCAAGTGATTAAAGACCTATAATCAAAGATTTGCCAACCGCGAACGGTCCGTGATTGGTCCGCCATTGCGTACCCGTGCCAACCTGACCTGCCTGACGTAAAGACCTATAATTAAAGATGCGCCATGGCCCGAATGGCCCGTGATTGGTCCGCCATTGCATATCTGTGCCAGGCTAGGGATGCGTTCCCATTCATTTCGTTTTAGTGCAGTAACCAGTGGCTGCCATTTTACTGGATACTGCACTGGAGAAGCGTTCCCAAATGACTGGATACTGGCTAGTGACGTCACACATACATGCACCCTCGACAGCCTCGCTGCATGTATTTACGACGTCACTAGTCAGTATCCAGTCATTTGGGAACGCTTCTCCAGTGCAGTATCCAGTAAAATGGCGGCCACTGGTTACTGCACTAAAACGAAATGAATGGGAACGCACCCTAGATGAGAAGTTGGGTACAAGATGTCGGACAGAAGTAGTGGTGGGAGACAGTTGGCGAATCTTTGATTATAGGTCTTTAGTGATCACCTATTTTTTCCACTTTACATTGGATAAACTTATACTTGCTACAATGAAAAATAATTAAGTAAATTCAAAAAGAAATACTACATATTGTTCTGTGGCACAGTGCCATAATTATAAAAAGGAGGGGATCAGTTTTCATCACTTTCCAAAAGATGACAAACTCATTTTCATTAGTTTAAAAATATGTCAGGAAAAAATATTGAGTTTTCGATCATCAAAGTTGACTAGCCCGTTGTTGAACAACCAGGGTACCCGGGTATCCATATACACATTTTATATAGAAAGACGAGAAAGGGAAATATCTTATATATGTTTGTGATATATTTTGATACATGAAAGGACAATTGATTTATACATATGTTTTATATAAAAATGGCTTTCAAATTTTTATTCTTTTTCGTAACAAATATTACATTTATTTATCGTTTTGCAGTGTTCGTTGCAAATTGGCTTATAACAATCGGCACAATTTTTTCTTGTTTTCCTGCGCTTTCGAATTTCCTTATTACTGCATATAAAACAGGAACCAACAACTTTTTTCCTTCCTGTTTTATCTTTTTCCGTAACTTGAGAAGTGGAAGCTGAAGCGATTTCGTCAATCACATTGATAGATTTTTGCAGTATGCATTCAATGCCACTCCTGGAGGAAAAGTGTCGCATTACTTGAATATTTTGCGACCGATCTTGAATTATTGGGAGACATAATTCTTCTCCCAATTGACGCAAAAATATGCTGCGTGCATTACTCCTTTTTTTTAGCATATAATTATTCGCCATATAAATTATGTAGGCAGCGAGAGCTGCAATGTCTAAAATATTATAAAATAAGGCAAGAGGCCATCTATTTGTTTTTCTATGTGTAGTATACTGTCCAAGTAAATGGTCCATTACATCAACGCCAGATTTTGTCTTATTATAAAAATGTACCATTTCTGGTTTTTCTTTTTCTCCAGACGTTGCGATGGTATGATGCATTGTTGACAAAAGTATAACTGTTTTTTTCTTTTTCGGAACATAAGAACAAATTGTTACGTTGTTTTGGAATCCGTATACTGTAGAAGTGTAGAAAATACTTGACGTACATTAGATGGTGCCATTTCTTGAGGGATATAAGATTTGTTTTTTTTTAGAGTTCCTACTATCGTCAAATTCCACGATAATAAATGTTTTGCAAGCGGCAGAGTTGTAAAAAAATTATCCGTCGTGATGTTTCGTCCAAATCCTTTGTATGGAGCGACCAATTCTTTTACTACTCTTTCACCTTGATTTATATCTCGACCTGTAGATGGTTTTCCTGTATAAATCTGTCCAGTGAGCGGATAATAGTTTTCAGCGTCACATATCCACCAAATTTTTATTCCGTACTTAGCAGGTTTTGATGGAATATATTGTTTGAATTTCATTCGACCTCGATATGGAAATAATTGTTCATCTATTGTCAAATTTTCAGTTGGCCGATAGTATTTTTGCAAATTTGAATTGAGCATTGACCATAAGTCACGTATAGGTGCTGCTTTATCGAGTTGCTGACGTTCTTCTCGCGTATTTGCGTCGTCGAAACGAATAAATCGCAAGATGTTACGAAATCGAATATAACCCATGCTTGCACGATATAATGGATATGAATTTGTTTTCCACATATCTAATCCATACTGTGTGTTTGAATGATTGACACCACTTGTTATGAGAATTCCCAGAAATAAATTGAACTCACGTACAGTAAGATCTTTCCATTCAAGTTGCGTTTTCGTAGGATTATTGGTATTGTACGTCTCATAAACACGTTTTGCTTTTTTATTCGTGTGTCTTATAATAATGTCAATCATTTCGTCAGTAAATATGCATCTAAATGTGTCACAAACAGACATTGTTTCAGTTGATTGGTGCGGTCCACTTCTTTGACGAACAACGTTGTGTGCCGGAGTCTGGTGAAAATCAGGTGGTAATTGATTCCACACAGTTCCATCTTTAGCAACGAAAGTGTTCGCAGATGATGTTTCGGTTGGATCTTGACTTTCGCTAGCGTCGCTATCATCACTGCTTTCTTCTTCTCTGTTTGTCTCGCTTTCTTGTTCTTCATCTAAAAATAAATTTCTCATTCATATATATATTGTATATATAATATTATATAAATATCGTATAATTTACATTATATATAAAGTGACAATGCCTACTCGAGTCATTGTAACAGGATGTTAATGTTAATTATAATTGAGTGAAATTATGTACCGCGTATGTAGTCCTCTTCGCGACGCTGATGGGTTTTCAGCATTGACGCATACGTATTAACTACCGCGGTAATATCACTTTAGTTAAATTGACATCACAATTTAACAAATTTTGATGCTATAGCATCTTAATTAGATCTTAATAATATGTTGAAAGACATATATTA